ACACATGGCAGGTCAAGCTACAAGGGGAGAGGAATATTGAAACTTCCCAAGGAGGTGGTCAGGCTGGAGGGGATAGGGTGGGGTCTAGAAGTTCTGCTGCAGGAGATGTGGCTGAGGGACTTGGGTGTTTGTTTAGTCTGAGGTAGCTCTGAAGCACCTGTCTGGGGAGCCACTTGAATTGCTTGGAGTGACACTATGCCTTCCAGTGGCAGTCAGCCTGGAAGCAGTCCTGGTCTCAAGGGAAGGAAGATGCTATGGTCCTTCAAGCTGCTGTGCACAGAGTGAGGGGGCTGCTCGGAGTGGATACCTCAGAAGTGGGCAATTGGACCTGTTAAGGAAGCTGTGGAGGAGATTCCTGCTTGGGAGGGGAGTGGGTGGTGCATTCAGCCTGGATGTGGTGCTCCAGTCAGGGGCCCGCAAAGACAACTGCCTTGTCTCTCTGGCTTTCGTTGGTGGCAAGAGCACAGGCTACACAGAGTGCTAGGGCAGTCAGAAGCATCCTTAATGCTTTGGGGAACTAGGATTGATGCAGAATGAGATCTTTACTTCAGTGGCAGAGGACCAGAGTGAGGCCAGAGCACAGGGCATCCCATGTGGGTGTCTGCCCCAGGGCAACTCTGTTCTCCCAGGTTAGAACTGTGTATCTGAAGGACTTTTTTTTTTTTTTTTTTTGGTGGTGGGGGGCTGGCTCAGGATGCCTTCAGGGCAGGTCTGGTAAGGCTTGAGGATCTGGGGATCAAACCACAGCATCCTGAGCCTGACTGCTTTTTAGACCTGTGTATCTGGATGAACCCTGATTTTGGGGCCAGAGCAAAGCCAAGCCAGGGTCGTGGCCTTTTTCCTGCCATTCTACTGGTCTGGTGGTTAGATGAGAATATTCTGTAGTCAGGGATGACCAGGTCCCATGTGCCCTCTTCCAGGCAACAAGATCTGTGGCAGAGGGTATGTGGAGCGGGTGTGGTCAGGGTGGGCGTGATTTCCCCCAGGAACTTTTGTCCTTTCTGGCTGAAGGGCAGGGTTGCTGGCTGGACATCCTGCTGCCCTAGGCCCGAAGTCCAGGGCACAGGGTGAGGAGGGTGAAGTGTTCCTATTTCCGCATCTCCCTCGGCTCCTGGCTTCTTGGGATCACATTTACCTGCTCCCCTCCCAACCTAGGGGCCAGCCCAGTGAGTAGAGAAACCTCGAGCATGGTGACATTGGCTGCCCCCGAGCTCTTAGAACCAGGCTGCAGTTCTGGCCCTGCCTCCAGGCACCAGGGAAATACCTGGGGCTCTGCTCCTGCCCCAGTTGCAGAGGAGAATGTGAATCAATTGGGATGTGGCTTCACTGTCTGTGGAATGAGTGTGTTAATCCTCACCCAAATCATAGGCCTGTCCCGTTCTAAGCCCTGTCCTAAGGGTTGCCACCACCCACAAGGCCCTCCCTGTAGCTGGGAAGCTGAGGGGGTGGTGTGAGTCTCCCATATTTGTCCAGATGTGGAAGTGGTAATTTTCTAGCGTCAGAGTGACTCAACCCGAGATCAGCAGCTTGCATTTGAAATCAGTCAGAAAAGCCACTTCCCCCCCTCCCCGTGAGTGAGTGTGTGTGTGTGTGTGTGTGTGTGTGTGTGTGTGTGAAAGTCAGCATATGTGGATACTAATCCTGGCTGCAATATTATCTCACTTCATGACCTTGAGCCTATCACTTCCCTTTTGTGAAACAAAATCTCTTGCTTTGAAGAAGAGGAGGTAGACCTGTGTGTCCAGGCCATGCTTAGCTGGCCAGCAAAGAGGCACTGGACTTCAGGGGGCCACGTGGGAAGCAGAGCACCCAACGTCTTAATTTGAATCCAGCCTTGGCATGGATAGGGAATGTCAATGCCATGCTAGGCAGTGGCAGAAGCCAGGCACGCCCAAAGTCAATGTGGGCAGCTGCTCTTTCTTGGGGTCGTAAGTGGGTTTTGAATGCACGCTGCCTCTGCCCTGCGTAGCCCTCCTGGGCCCTGGATTCCTGTGCTGAGCTGTGAGGAGATGCTGTGCTGGGGGAGGCAATGAAGAGTCTAGAGGAAGAGCAAAGTGACCAGAAGAGGGGAATGGGAGGCCTGAGAGTGAACGAATTCTTAGCTCCACCAGAATCTTTGACGGATGCTGTGTTTAGGTCTCAGCCCCTCCTCCCACCGTGGTTGTGAATAAGAAATAATCACAGCATAAGCAGCACTGCAACTTCTGCTAAACCTCTGCTGAAGTCTGGGGCCGTTGTGAGATGGTGCACGGCAGGGCAGGCGAGGGTGTGCGCTGCTTCCATGCAGGTATTGGCTGGGGTTGGATGCAAGATTTGCCACCAACTCACTGCCTGATCCCGGGTCAGTGGGCCTCTCGGAGCCATGGTTGGCTCTGGCACATTATTGGGCATCAGAAAAAGCATTTTATATCATTATGGCCATAATTATGAGTCAGTTGACAAGTTAAACTTCTTTTAGAATCAGGGTGAGGGGAAAGGATCAGTCTTTCTCCACTCATGAGATTTTAATGTGGAGGCATTTCCCAGAATGGTCTTGGAAATACAGGCCATGAAAAGATGTCAATAAACAGAGGTTCTGGTACTGGGAATGAGCTTGGGCAATGCCAAGATAAGCAGAATCTCTGCTGCAGGATTTTTTGTAGCTTTTTTTTTTTTTTTTCAGTACCAGGGACTGAACTTGGGACCTTGTGTGTGCCAGTCAGGCACTTATGCTGCTGAGCTGTCATATTACTAAAAGCCCCATTGCTTTTAGTAATAAGTCTCACAAAGCTCCATGAATGGGTGACTTGGGTGATATTTCCCCCATTCATTTAATCAGGGAGCCCTGTGAGGTGTGCACGGGACACATTCGGGATGAGCTGTGTCTTCTTTTGGTTTCCAGCAAGCTTTGTCTCAGTCACCAAACCAAGGGGGACATGGGCATATTTGTCCCTTGCCCTGTCCCTGCAGGGCTGGTTTTCCATGTTCTTTTTTCCTGTCTGTTTATCTTTTAGTGTGGAAGGACTCAGATGCAAGCAAGAAGGGCAGGGTTAGCATCGTCTAGGGAACCCAGGCAATTGTTTTTCTTTTTGCTCAGTCCTTGGAATTGAACCAAGGGACTACTGCTATCTTTTCTTTATTTATTGTTATTTTTTTGAGATAGGGATCTTTAAATTGCCCAGGATGGCCTCAAACTTGGGATCTTCCTGTCTCAGCCTCCCAAGTAGCTAGAATTATAGTACTGGGCAATCTGAACTCCAAGAAACTGAGGAAGGGTTAGGGTGAAGCTCCCACTGGGGATTCCTACAAGGTTTGTTCAGATTTTGTCCTGGGTGATGAAGAAAGGAGAGCAAGTGTCAGTATGTCTATGTCTTGCCAGCACCACTTAAGAAAGTAGACATCACCTTGTCCTGGTCATGACTGACCCACAGAATGAACTGGATCTGCTCTTGCTGCATTTAGCAGTTTTAAGAAAGGCAGCAGCAATGAGCCATGGGTCACAAGGCTGGATTTGGATGAGGCAGTCTTAGGAGGGGAGAACTAATGGGATCCATGGCCCACATCTGCTGTGGCCACTCTGAGAGTTTCAGGCCACAGAGAAGCAGGTCCCAGACCTCTGCCGGCAGCAGCAGGGAGCAGCCAGGGGCATCATGGGGTAGGGGTTGTGTCCTACCTCTGGTGGTTTCAGGTGGGCAGGTATCATTTCTTCTCTTTTTAACCCCCAAGTCTCTTGTATATGTCTCTCTCTGTATCTTTCATTTGACTTATGTGGGTAGGAGGAAGGATTGGAGAAAGTGTCCCTACCCCACACCTTTATTTCTCTAGTGTATTTCAGTCCACAGATAGCAAACCATTAGTGGGCACAGAAGTCAGTTTTGTGGGTTGTGACCAGTATTTTTTTTTTTTTTTTTTAGATACCAGAGAGTGAATCCAGGATTCAGAAATGCTAGGCAAGTACTCTAACACTGAGCAACATTCCCAGCCCTTTTAATTAATGAACTTTTTTGCAACCCTGGGAATGGAACCCAGGGTCTATGTGCTGAGCTGTATTCTAAATTCTTTTTAAACATCTTAAAAATTTGAGACAAGGTCTCCTTAAGTGATAAAATGACCCAGGCTAGGCTCAAACTTTGATCTTTCTGCCTCAGTCTTCTCCAAGTGCTGGGGTTACAAGCCTATACCACCAGACCCAGATTTTTATTTTATTGTGAGATAGAATCTTTTAGGTGGCTGGTGCTGGCCTGGAACTTTGAATCCTGCTGCCTCAGCCTCCCAAGTAGCTGGTAGTAGAGGTGTGCACCACTGTGCCCAGCTACAACCAGAGTGAGACAGAATGGAATGAATCAGCGTGCACTGGATGGAGTGGGGTGGTTAAGTATTATTTCATGAGTGCTAGATGGGCGGGTGAACAGGAATGTAGATAGGCGGCAGTGTCACTTGGGTTACTGTGGGTTGTGCTCCTTGAAGTTTGGAAGCCTGTGACTGGCCAACTCCAGGTGGTGGCACCAGCTGGACAAAGTTGATCTGCTCCCTGGGTCTGTCCTGTCCTCCAGACCTTGAGAAAAAGGTACCCTTCAAAAAGTGCTTGTGATAATTGTTCCTCTTTGAAAGAGACATTTTTCATTGTCAATCAGGTCACTTACCTAGGAGGCTCCAGCTAAAGCGAAAGGAGAAGAGTGTGTTGCTTCTGGCCAGCAGGGAGGTAGGAATGTAGCTGAGTATGTCAGGCAGACTGCAAGCTGTGTGATGGCGTGGGGGTTGGGGATTGTACTAGGACACTCAAGTTCTGTTTTTTATCTTAGGTTACCACTCAGCTGTGTGATTCAGGGCAAGGGACTTGCTCTCTCTGGCCCTCAGTTTAGTCAGATAGAAAAGGGAGAACAGGATCAGGAGATTTCTAAGGTCTGAACCTCCCCAAATGACCTGGGCTAGTTTGTAGACTGCAGTAGGGAGAGGGGCATGGCTGCCCCCTGGCAGTGATGAGGATGCAGGATGACGGAGGAGCTAGAGCCAGAGCCTGGTCTCCATGGACAGCATTTATTAGGCGCCATTCTCAGTGTGAAGACAGATAGGCAGGGGGCGCTGAGGGGGGCCTGGCAGCCACAGCCTGGGGAGTTCAGGGGCTGCCCGGGTGGGGTGTGGGTGTGGGGCATGTCACCCACATATATTGCATATTCTGTGGCAGTGTGCCCAGGCATAAGGCATCGGGGAAGCAGAAAGGCTGCCTGCAGTTGGAGGGGTGAGAAGGGAAGTGACATCGGCCTTCCAGTTCTTGAGGAAAGACCCAGCCGGAGACCAGCAGTCTGCCATGCTCTGCCCAGGCCTCTCTGCCGCTTTCCCACCACCTCTCTGCAGCTTTGGTTGTGGCTCCCTCGGGTCTGACGTCTGACAGGACTTGACCCTCGAGGGCAGGGTCACATACAGGACAGGGGCAGCCAGCACTGCCCCACTCCCAACATAAACACAAAGGGCACCTTTCTGGCTCTAGGCCCCTTCTTGGTGGCATACAGCAGCCAGCTCCTCCTCCCTGCACAGGGACTTCTTCCCCTGGGGGATCTCTCAAGGGCTAGAGGCCATGGCCTGAGTTTGACCACCCCATAGGTCCTCCCTCAGGCTTTTTTGATGAACACTAGAGCTGGGCTGGCAGGGCAGCAGGGAGGGGCTGACCGGGGACAGCATGGGAAGGCAGTGCTATGGGGGAGAGGACCCTCACCCACCTGTGATGCTGCCCCAGTGCTCTCCTAACTCCAGCCACAGAGCGAACCAGGACAGTGCTTCCATCGACTGCTTCCCCTGAGCTTCTGAGCTGCATGGGGTGGGCAGAGGCTTGCTAGGCTCAGGCTCCTGGGGGCAGGGGTGTTTCTGCCTGCAGCTGCAGCCTGGTTCTAGCTGCTTGGGACACAGGTACCAACACTCGCTGTGGGCGGGGATTGTGTCCCAGGTGATGCGCCAGCCAGCTCTCTTGGCTGCCCAGGCCGATTCCCAAACTCTCAGAGCTGGCGTTTGTTCCATGAGACCAATCCTTGCTCACTGGGGTCCCAAGGACCTCTGTGTTTGTACGCAGGCATCCTGGAGACATCCAGGGCCAGTGTGGTGAGGCTCAGCCTCAGAAGAGCCCAGCAGGATTTCAGACTCTGCTTTAAGCCCAACTCCTTTAGGACCCTGGACATCCAGGGCGGAGCTCTGCTTCCGGAAGTGGGCTGGGCCAGAAGGGAAGAGCACTTGGGCTGGGAAAAGCAGGTGCATTCTTGTTCTCCTTTCCTTTGCCATCCCGGTCACCTTGGGAAAGTCATTTTGCTTCTGTCCTCATTGGTAAAATGGGGATAAGAATTCTTGCCCTGGTGACCTAAGTGGAGTGTTGTGAGACTCAAACCAATGAATAGGCAGGACTTTGTGGAGGCTAAAAATCACCTTACAAATGTAAGGGTTGATAATCAGCAGCGGCAGCAGCCAGAAATGGCAACCTCGAGTTTTCTGTCTCAGACTCAAGGGCAGTGTCTGGAAGGCTGGGGGCCCCCTCCCCCACGAGGTCACCAGGAGAGGCCAGTTAGCTCTCAGCTATCAGTGCCACCATCCTGCAGACTGGGAGCCCTTGCCTCTCCCACTCCCCACTCCCCTCTCTCTTACTCTTCTTGCCTGTCCTTTTCTGTCTGTCCTGACCTTTGGGGACTAGCTTTAGGAACTGCGGGGTTCCACTTTCTCCTTAACTGCAAAGCCATGCAAAACAACATAGAAGGTAGTGGGGGCTGGGAGACACAGCTGGGGATGAGGAAGGGGAGTGGGACTGAGTGGGGGTGACCTGGACAAAGACACCCTGGCTTTTGGAGCCAAGGGGAGCTGGGAGACCTGGCAGGACAGAGGTATAAATAGAGATGCAAAACGTACATGGAACGAGAAGTCCCCTGGGGCTGTGGGGGTCTGGGTACCAGCAGGGCCTCTGAGGACTAAGGAGCTTCTTAGATTTCCAAAAGGACAGGAGGCTCCCAGCTTCTGCCTTCCCTCCTTGACCCCCTTCCCCTAAGTTTTCACATTTCTTGGAATTTGCAGGGCTTGGATGGGGGGGCTCCAGGGGTCCTCAGAGCCCAGCCTCCTGCCAGCTGGTGCGAGCAGGCACAGTCGGAGATGGGGCTGGGGGACAGAAGTGGGGGCACTGGGAGAGTCCCACTGGCCGAAGGTGGCTTGGGGCCCTCCTGGCCGACCCCTGCCGCACTGGGCTGAGCCCCCACCCGGCTCGCAGGGGCGCCAGGCCCCGCGGAGGTCACACGGAGCTCCTGCGCTTCATGAGGCCGCGGAAGGTAGACAGGCTGTGCAGGCCCGTGGACACGGAGCTGATGGCCGAGCGCTGTGTCCCACTGCACAGGCAGCGGTGAGAGGGCGTGTCGCTGTAGCGGCCGCCTCCTCCCGGTGACGAGTGGCTCTGCTCCACGCACGTGTCGGACGTGGAGAGGTCCCGCGGGATGATCATGGGGATGGAGTACTGCAGCTTCTCGCGGCTCTTGTACCAGAGGCAAGAGCACATGGACTGGAAGTGCAGCACCTCCGCGTAGACATTGCGGAAGCCGCCCGCGCCGCCGCCCGCGGCCACTGTGGACGAGGCTGTGTCGGTGGTGTGCACGCTGTCACCCACGGCCGCGCTCAGGCAGCTCAGGCCGCCCAGACCGCCGCCCCCCGCCTGCCCGTTGCGCGTGAGCAGCGCGCGGTGCTCGGCGTCGCGCTTCTCGTCCTCCGCATTCATAGTCATGAAGCGCAGCACCACGAGGTTGAGGAAGGCGCCGATGACTGTGAGGCCCGTGAGGATGTACACGAAGCTGAAGGCCACGTACTGAGGCTGCGTCTGCAGCGCCTGGTCCTTCTGCAACGCCACGTAGTCGCCGAAGCCGATGGTGGTGAGCGTGATGAAGCAGTAGTAGTAGGCCTGGAAGAAGGTCCAGTGCTCGTAGTAGGAGAAGGCGGCGGCGCCAATGCACAGTGTGCTGATGCATGAGACGAAGCCGATGAGCACCATGTTGGCCATGGACACGTCGGCGCGCCGCATGCCCAGTCCCTTCTTGGCGCGGTGCAGCAGGTACCTCACGAAGGTGTTGATGCGCTCACCCAGGCTCTGGAACATGACGAGCGTGAGTGGGATCCCGAGTAGAGCGTAGAACATGCAGAACACCTTGCCGCCGTCCGTGCTGGGTGCCGCATGGCCGTAGCCTGGGGAAAGTGGGGGAGAGGAAAGAGAGCACACGTTGTAGGCTGTGCCTGCAGAGACTTTGGCCTCTGGCCCTCCCTCTCCCCGGCACCGCCCCAGCCCCACTTTGCCCCACTTGGCGCCTTTGCACGTGCTTGTTCACAATCCCAGAATGCAGGAAGGAAGGAGTCGGAGGATATGGTGTTTGGAAGCAGAGCAACCCGAGTTTAAATGCGAGTCTGCTTGGCTTCAAAATTTGGGCTGTTCTGTATACCTAGTGGAGGAGGCAGCTCTAGGTGCTGCTGGGAGCCAGTGAACGGCAGTCAGTGAGGCATGGTTTCCTGTGCAGAGTCCTGGGCTCAGAGAGAGCTTCTCATCCTCTCAGGCCCTCAGCGCCCTTGAAGATGAGGGGTGTTGGACTACATAGGTTCTACCAGCCTGTGGTTTGGTATGGTGGGAGGAAAACGGGAGCCTGAATAGCTCCTTGATAATTTCTCTGCTGGCAGTCAAAACTCACAGTAGAGTGAGGGGGCTGGGACCTTTCAGCCTTCCTGGGACAGCTGGCCCTACAGTGGCAGAGAGGAAGAAAGGAGACTGGTGTGAGCCTCTCCCAAGTGGACAAGAGCTTGTTCCGGGGTTCTCGTCTCCCCTAGCTGGAGGCTGAAACTCTGGAGTATTCCTGTGACTGTAGCCTCAAAGAGGGTCTGTGTTTATGGGATGTGACATTAGCCTTGGCAAAGCAGGAGCAGGAGTGTCCCTCTAGGTGTGTTAACTCTAACTAGCTAGGCTGTCTCAGCACCCCTCCCCCAGCTGAGCCAGGAGCCAGGAGAACTAGACCCTCCCTCTGTGCAAACCTTCAAATGGTCTTGAGCCAAGAATTCTGCCCGCCTACATGGAAAACAATGACCCTGGCTGAGAATGCAGAAGCCTTGGGCGCAAGTTCTGGCCATGTCACTAATGGCCGTGGAAACTTGAGCAAATGACTCCCCCTCTCTGATCATGTCTGTTTATTTGTAAAGTGAAGTCTGCTGGCCTTCTTTCATCAGACTATTGAGATATTTATTGTCTTTATTAGTAGAATTATGATAGCTTCCTATACTGTTCAGTGGTACAGTGCTTTCCTTGTCTGTGTGAGGCCCTGAATTCCATCCCTAGCACCACAAAAAATTTTTCTGATAGTAACTGGCTGCCTTTCCAGTTTTTCCTTTGTTCTAAACCTCCTGAAATCTTAATCTAACACTTCTTTCCAGAAGTCTTCCTGGATTCCTCACAGCAAAAAGCGAATTTTGCCTTGGATGTTCAGTTTTGAGCTCCAGGTCCCCAACTGCATCCAGCTAAACACTAGCTTTGGGGAAACTGCCTGGGCTTGTCCTGTCCTCTAACTTTCACCTTTGTGCTGCCAGCTACTTCTAGGGAGTCCCCAAAATATGTTTCATGACTAAATTTCAGGACAGGATACTGTATGCTTTGGTGTTGGATCTGAACTCAAGTCTTGACTCTTCCATAGGCTAGCTCTGTGTGTGTGTGTGTGTGTGTGTAACCTCTCTGAGCCCTGGCTTCCACATCTGTAAAATGGAGCTGTTAAGTCACTGCCTCACAGGGCTTATGGGGAGAATAAGTGAGATAATGTATGTGCTGCGCTCAGCCTGGGACCTGGAGCCTGGGACATATCAAGGGCCCAGTAATGGCTCACTGCTGCATAATGAATGAAGGGCCAGATTACTCTCACGTTTTCCAGAGAACACTGTGTGGGTGTGAGGGTTGCCGAGTTCCAGTAAAACTGGTATCTCTGCCAGCTAGAGACCACTGAATCTTGAAGCTCAGGGCCTGGGGACAGTTGCTTGAGGTGTGCACAGCTTTGGGGCTGTCCCTAGAATGGGCTCCCCTGGTCTTGTTGTGGCACTGAGCCAGGACCCTGAACAGCTGAGCTATTGAGCCTCTGTGCCTGGCCTGTCTGCACCCCTGGGGGGTGAGAACAGATTGTGCCCGCCAGTTCAGCCTCCAAAGCCAGACCACACCTTACCTCGACAGCTGGGCAGGCTCCCGGTCAGATCTGCTTCTTATCCTGTCCTTCCCTGTCCCCCGGGTTGGAGGACATGACACGGGACAGGCAGTGTAGAGCATAGATCTGGACCAGGCTGTGTGACCTTGGCCAAACTGCTACTCCTCACTGGTCTCACTCACTCAGTACAGGGGTGGGTGGGGGTGGGGTGGGGAAGCAGGGGGTCGGGGATTGAGTTAAAGCTATTAATTCCTGCCCTGGCTACTCGCCAGTGCTGCCTCCAAGAGTGAAGAAAGTCCCTTGGCACCTGTACCTCAACAGATGCAGTGGTGATGGGTCTCACAAGAGGGGCCTGAATGTGCTAACCCAGGGAGCAGAGCCATTGCTGTGGGGTCAGGAAACCATGGTCTCCCTCATGGTAGAGGGGATGCCCTCTCTACCACCTCACCCATCCCTTCTCTTCATTTGTTCATAATCTGTGCTTTCTTCTGGCTCCCATCTCTTAAGAAAACCCAATGCCTGCCTGGCAGCCCTGCTGGCTGTTGTGGGCTTCCTGTAAACCACCTCCATCCCTGCTCCTGCTGTGACCCTCAGCAGCTACTCTGGGGCTCCACCCTTCCAGCTGTGCCACTACCACCTCCCCACACCTTTCTTCAGTGCCCTCTTTCTGGCCCTTGCTGCCAGCTCCAGCACTGCAGCCACAAGGGACAAACCCCTCCTCTTCCACTGTCCTCGATTAAACAGTGACTAGCAAAGCAAGTGATTCATACAGGTCTGACCAAGACTTTTACCAGGATAGTCTCCTGTTGCACCATAGCCACTGCCCTATCCAGGGCAGCCTCAGACTGCCTGTGCCTAGTGTGGGTCGGATGCACCTGGATCCAGGCTGAGGCCTCTTAAGCAGGTACAATTCTTACCCTTTTGATAAATTTCTAACTTAATCCTTGAAAACTTCGCACAAAGTCACTATTATCCTCTCTCTGCTTTACAGTGGGGGCCAGGAAGTCTGGAGAGAGCTGGTGAGTTTGCCGTGACCACCAGGCCTTTCTGACTCAGTGTCCATCCAGTGCATTGGAGCTAATGGATCACCCAGGAAGGGAAACTGAGACCCAGAGAGGGGAGAGCATGCCACTTGAAGCCTTGATCCAAGGCATTGTCCCAAGCTGAATGTAGCACCAATGGGAATGGGAGACTGATGCCCAGGCAAACAGACACTTCTCCAGGGGTGGCACCATGAACTTCTCTGCTTGTCCTATTGTCATTGGGTGGAAAGGCAGAGGAGCTGCAAAGATCTGCTGGCATGGGTACCCAGCCTGGAGGACTGCCAGCCAGGGTGGAGCAGTCCTAGGGGGCTTTGGCTTCTGGCAAGTAACTGTGAGTTTGGCAAGCTTGGTCTGCCTGCTTGCAGGCCTGCTGCCTGCCCACTCCCTGCCTGTGTCAGGCTTGACTGCCAGGGAAGGGCCAGAGGCATTGCCCACTGCCTCCTCATCTGGTCCCTGGGCACAGAGTTCTGTTTGTTCCTCAGTGGCTTCAAAACACACAGGTTGCTCTTTGGGGCTGGTTCTCATCCAGAAAGCACTCAGCAGCGCTCTCCTGTCTCCTCCTTTCCTTGTCTCTTTTCTGAAACCACTGTAGATTTAGAAATTCTCAGAGCCAGGCCTTTAGCAGTCAGCACTTATACTTGGTCCAATGCTTATACTATATGGATGAGGAAGTGGAGTACCAGAGAGGGGTGACAATCTGGTCAAGGCCACACAGCTGGTATATGAAGAACTGGGTTACAGCCCAAGGTACTTGGCCACAACAACAGCGTGCCATCCACAGCTGTGTGGCTCAGCTGTGACCAGAGTCATACCTGTTCACTCCATGAGGGCCAGCAGCTCCTACTCTGCAGCACCTTAGCTAAGTGGCAGCTCTGAAATCTGGCTGGAGGCTCAAAAGTCATCAGAGGAAGCAGGTGAAGAAACAAGAACTATTAGTGTAAGTATCTTAGGGTAGAAGGAAACTGAGGGGTAGGACAGGAACCTCTTGGCTTCTGTTCTTTTTCATCCTGATGTTATCAAGGAGCTCAAACCTCTGTCTTCCAGGTGCACTCAGGGGCCTGGAGGGGTCAGTTGGCTGTCCTTACAGGTCTTTCTCCACCTGTGGGCTGTTTCCTTATAGTCACAGCACAGGGAGCCCCTCTGAGCCCTTGGCATTGGCCTTGGCTGGGCCCAGCTGCTCCACCTGGCCTCTTTGCCTGCTGGCCTGCTGCCTGACCTCCACCTATCACAGCTTTGGGTGGAGGAAAACTTGGAGCCAGGGGGCAGCAGCTGGGGTCTGACCCAGCCAGGACTTGGTCTTCCTCTTTCTGGCCTCCTGTTCTCTGCATCTCAGTGGTCTGTGCAGACAGGGCAAACTAGAAGGGTCCCCCCTGTGTTTTAATGCTATGGATGGTGTCTTGGGCTGTTTTCCCTATTCCCTTACAGAGTAAAACTTTTGTCAGATCTAATTTATGAAGTATGATATGTTTATACTACATAGATTGGACACTGAATAGATTATTGTTAAGGCTGTAATTAATTTATTACCCTATCAAACCTAATTAAGAACACATCTGCCAATCAGAACTTCTGATTAGCATGGGATAATTGACTTAACAAAGTAATTGTATCTTTGAAGTACTAAAAATTAGATAGGAGGTTTCTATAGTTTAGGGGAGTTGATAAAAGCAAAGGCTCTGGAGTGAAACAGCTTTAAACCTTGGTCAAGTTACTTAGACTTCTGGGCCTCCCTTTCCTCGTCTGTAAAATGGAAGCAGTGGTGTGCTTGTTTCATAGAGTTGCTTCGTAAAATGCTTAGGATATTGGTATCAATACATACAAATTTTTAATGAGTATTTTAGAGAGCCCCCAAGATTATATGGCCTCTAATATTCTCTCTAGCAACAACATTTTATGATCAGTCTTTCCCAAGGTTAATTCGCTGGAATACCAGCTCCACAGCATGTTAGTAACTGTTGGATGTTAAACTGGGAAAATA